TTGGACTAACAATAAAAAAACAACACGTACCAAATACAATTCTGTGTAAACCCGGAAACTTGAAACGTCTACATAGCCATTAACATTTAAAATCGGCAGACCCGCACAAGATTTGTAAATTGGGAATCAAATTAAAACCTAACTCAATGATTATAAATGATCATAAACAATTAGATAAACCGTACAAAATTGGAATCAGAAGAGAGCTCATAAATACACCAACAAGAAACTCTTGAAACAAATAAGACATTAATAGACTTAGTCAACATCAACGGCAACATTGTGGGAAAATAATAGTGTTAAACAAACTCAGGGATAATGAGAAAAAAGTTGAGCTGGCAAAGCTGGGTGATCAAAATCCGAATATTATGAAGGGCCACGTGTCAGATAGGAAGGGACTCACTTCCTTTTCAACCCATCGAATTCGTCATTGGTGCCCGAATGGGGAGTTTTCGACCCTCTGTCGCAACCGCCGTCCAATACGTGGCCCAATTTCAGAGCAAAACTCGATTGCCAACCTCTCACGCTCACCTCTGAAGAACAATTGAAATTGGTTAGATAAAATGCGCACCAACGGGCGCTCAAGCTCGTCGCAAAAAAGATCTGTCCATGGTATAGAAGAAGGAGAAGACAAAAGCATATAAAAAACAAGTGGTAATAATATAGCAAACAGTGAACAAATCACAAAAGCTAGATCGAAAAAAGTGTGATTAAAGTCTGAAAAGTTTATTCATCTCATTTGTATCACAGCCATATATAGGATACACTTGTTAATACTTCTTCCTTTAAGTTCCATATAAAGAACTTTTTGGTATATATCCCGTTAATACGTGAAAATCATGTTGATATAAAAACCTTGGAGTAAGCTTGTTGGCTTTGCCATATAAAGAACTTTTTTGGTATATATCCCGTTAATGCACTCTATGACAAATTTTATTTTACTTTATTTTAGTTTATTTATTTATTTAATATTATATAATTTATTTTATTATATTTAATTATTATAAGTTTATCATATTATTATAATTTAATATAATTTACATTATATTTTAAATTTAATTTGATTTATTCATATGCAGCGTCCATAAATATTAAGCGTTATCAGATTAAACATATATTTTGGTTTGGTGTGGTGGTAATAAGTCTACCATACAACTTGGAGGTCCCTAGTTCGAACCCCAGTATTGCATAAGTTTTTTGCCGCCACGTAAGCATAAAATTGCCATGTCCCACGTTGGCAGCCACGTCAGCATAAAAATACCATGTCAGCAGAAATCGCCATGTCATTGAGCCACGTAGCAGACAAAGCCCGAAATTGGAATACCATGCCCGAAATTGGAATACCATGTCAGCAGAAATCGTCATGTCATGAGCCACGTAGCAGACAAAGCCCGAAATTGGGCTCGGTTATTCGAATTGCCAAAAAATAGTCAAAGTGGTGTTATGTTTGCTAAATTCCAAAAGTTTGGTTAAAACGACAAAAAATTGTAAGGTCCTGATTTTACCGTCAATTAGGCCTTCTATATTAGCTAAAAAGATTCAAAAACCAAGGAGCTGCTATAAACTACATCAAATTCGATGGATACAGAAAACCAAGATAATATGAAAAACCAAAAGCCACTATTGCAAATAATCCGTACCCAATAAAAATCTCAGCTTTTGATATTTTTTCGCTGATAAGCAAAACGATACACACAACACCAAATCAAAGTAGCAGGCAAGATGGTAAGATTCACGGCTTCAACGAGAGAGTGGAACTAAAAAACGTTTCAGTGGCAAACTTCAACACTCCTCATTAGGTCATCAGTTCAGCTTTGTGCAGGATATTCATGTTTAGGACATGTCTCAGGGTTCAACATGGAACAATGCCGGTGAAAATTCTATTTTCCCTCAATTTATTTCACTTCTTTCTTAGTTTTTCCTTTAGACATTGTATCACCTCGTCTATGTTCCTTATCTGCTCATGCTTAAGCTTTAAATAACATGTTTTCCAAAATGAAGATACATCAAACCATTGAAAAAGAACCGACAATCATCCTTCACTACAAGAAAGCCAAAGTATATAAGTAATAGTTAGTCGTAACAAAATAGTTGTACTTAATTGAGTAGGATTCGAGAGGCTTATGCTTCGGAGTTTGCATCGGTAGTACCGCCTAAATGGATTTATTTTGGTGTTGGATGTTAGAAATTGAATATCAATCACTCAGTACGAATAAATAAATACGCCCTCCCTATCAGCTCTAACTAAATTTGCAGATTAATTTCTGGAGCTCAAGACAGAGCTTTTGACATAAGGGTAAACCAGCAAAGACCCTCCTCTACCAATAGGGAGCCCGAGATTCTCCTGCCGTCTGGTAGCTTGATCATAAAGCAGCAATTCACCTTCGAAGTACACAACAAACAATTTATCATTCTTGTAGAGGTTCAGCACCGCAAGAGAATCAGCAGCTGCAGGGATATCGAATGTGGAGACGAGGGACCAGAAGCTGCCTCGCGCATTCCAACCCCAAATCTCAAAAATAAAAGGTTCGTCCTCTGAATCGCAACAAACAGCCGCCAGAGACCCCTGAAACTCCACTAGAACAACACTCGACTTGTCGATGTACAACTTGGGAAGAGGGATAAGAGCACGAAACCTGTCTTCAGCAAAGTCGAACGACATAATAGCAGTAGAACCATCACGAAACCCCGTAGCTATCCGATAGTAGAAGCCATTAATGTTAATGGAGGGGTATGCATCGTGGTTCAAGATAGAGCCATAAGGATAATGAACGGCCTTCCACGAACCAGTTCCGAGGGACAACACCTCAGAGTAGACTTGTCCCAAGCAGTAGTCCACCCAACACGTGAGCAGCTTATAGTGCCCGGATGAAGGATCAAACCCCATGCCATAAGCCCACAGATCCAGGTCATCATCCTCTCTTGGGGAAAGGCATGGAAAACGGTATCTACACGAATCCGTCTCCATGTTCCACACAATATACTGTGGCGGCGTGGAGTCAATTTGCTCGAATAGCAACCAAATCCATGAGCCGCAACATCCAAGGACGTCGTAGTTAGGAAGGATACTGGAGTTATCAAAACTGAGTAGAGACAATAAGTTGCGAGGAAGATCATCATCATCTTCGTGTAATAGTCTGAAAGAGTTGCCTTCATTTGAGATTACAGAGAAATCGAGGGTTTCGTTGTGTGCGTGCCACATCAGGAACATGCCCTTGGGTTGAGCGTTAGCGGATTTCATCAATTTCGATTCGGCGTTGGCAAGAGCTTTGCTACTGTGTGAACATTTGGATTTCGATTTGGTTTTGGATTTGACAGATTGATTGAAGCTGTTTAAGAGGGATCCCATGTCTCTGACTAACGAAGAAGAACGAATCGCCGCTCTCTCTCTCTCTCGACCAACAAAACTTTGAGTCAGCAACAGAGCAAACACGTGATTACCAATTTATAGTATTATCAATAAACTTTCGAGTAGAAGTGCGAAGGGGGTGTGCGAGTAATATGCGGCAATTCGCATACCCCATCTCATAACTGAAATAACTGAAAGGTGAAAGAAATAAAAAAGAAATAAAAAATAAACTTTCGAGTCTAAGTGCGAAATGGAGTATGCGAGCAATATGCGGCAATTCGCATACCCATCTCATAACTGAAATAACTGAAAGGTGAAAGAAATAAAAAAGAAATAAAAATTAAACTTTCGAGTAGAAGTGCGAAGGAGATATGCGAGAAATATGCGACAATACGCATACCCCCTCGCATAATTGAAATGACTGAAAGAAATAAAAAATAACTTTCGAGTAGTAGAAGTGCGAGCAATATGCGTCGCATACCCCATCGCATAACTGAAAGATGAAAGAAATAATAAAAAATATTCTAATAAAAAACCTTATAATGCACCAACTTTGCGAATAATATTCGACGTTCGTATCTCGCAGAATAATTTTTTCGACTAATAGTCGCAGATTCATTTGCCTAACAAGAATAATTATTTAATGGTCGACGGACCGCGATTGCCCGAATCGTACATCGAATTTCCGCATACTCGTCGCATACTTTAACTCATAATTTTCTCGCTCATGCTCATACCGGTCGTCTATCTATTGCATAGTTCATCGCATATGTCTTCGTACTTTTGGGGTGAAAAACTTAGCTTTTTATTGGGTGGTGTAAAAAACTTAGGAAGACTTCAAAACAGAGTGAAAATAGCTATTTTCACAAATAAAAATCCAATCAAAACAAAAACTTTTGTCCGAATCACCCACCCAGTCAGTCACTCATCTGAATAAATAAAAAGATAAATAAAATTGTAGAAAAAAAAAAAAAAGCCGAATCCGACACAATCTGAGAGCTCATTTTCCAATCCGCCGGTATAGTCTGCTGAGATTCCATTTCCCGAGATCGGAATCGTCGGTGCATTCAATCGGAGCTGAACTGAATCGGATTATGAGAAGAATTACGATGGCGAAGGGTGCTACCATGTGCGCGTTGCTTCTGTTACTTTTGCTGTGTGTTCTGCGGCAAAGCGAGGCCATTTGGTTGAGCTTGCCTTCTAGTGGGACAAAGTGCGTGTCTGAAGAAATCCAGAGCAACGTTGTCGTTCTGGCTGACTACGTCGTCATCTCCGACGACCACGTCCACCCCACTCCCACCATTTCCGCCAAGGTTAGGGTTCCTTTTTGTCGCGATTATCACCTTCAGTCTTCTGGATGAGTCTGTTGCATTTGAGTGAGTCCCTTTTTTATTTCCTCTCCAGAAGGGGTGTTAATATAGACCAAAATATTGGAGCTCGTTTTGGGAAGTCATAATTCTACACGTGAGGTGGATATTGATTAGCTATTGGTGTTAATGATGAGCTCGACATATTAATAGTATAGTTAAATGCTTTCCCATTCCCATTTTAGCTTCATTTTCAAGGGACGTAATCAATTAAGTGACTCTTATTAGCGGTTTCTTGGTTATTTGAAGGGTTTTCTTTGAAAATGCATCAATCTACATTGAATTGGATTGAACTACACTAATGATCTGTGTACTTTTTGACTTTTGATTACTATTTATCTTAGTATATTGAACAAGGCATCATTAATGATGTTGTGAAAGAAAATATGTAGACAGTATCTACATGTTTTGAATCCAGTTGTTTTTTTGCCTGCGGTCTGCCTACTCTATCATACTTAAGTGCCCTATGTTGCATGTTATAAAAATATAATTTGCAATGTGTTCTATGTAATAAGATATATTTATTATATTAGGACTGGTCCAAAGGGAGAATAATTCAGTAGTTGATATTCCAAATACAATATTTTGACTTGGGTAACACTTTTTTGCCTTTTTTTTCATATGGATATGGTTCTTGTGATGGACCAATTGCATGGGCTTGTTTTGCTATATTTTAACTTCATATTTGTACTGTTTTAATGTTTCATTTGTTTGGCTTCAAATAGTGATTGATTCTTTTCCGTGGAAAAGTTTCCTAGTTAGTTTTTTCAAATTACTTTAGACAATAGTTTGCCTTGGAGACATATTACTGTTTCACTTTGTTCATGCCTTCATGCATCAAAGCTTGTGAGTTCAAGCTTGATTACATGATCTTGCTGGAGACTTCCATTTTGACAAACCCTGAACACCAAAATCTTGAATTTGATTACTTAGGCTTCTTTGTGTTGGCTGCATCTTTCTGCAGTGGCTTGCCTTATCTTATGGCCTTTATCCATACCCACGCGATTATCTTTTCAAGCCTTGCCTATCTCACTAGATTTTTTATCTCCATCTTTCGGTCTAGTATATCTATTAACTTGTTTCTTTCATCTCCATAGAATACTTCCAATGTCATTCTGCAATATTTTTAATGTACACCATCTATGTTCTTAAACATCTTAGTTAATTTACCTTTATGAGAAGATTTTTTCAGAGTTACAATATGGGTTTTGAATACCTGTTTTTATATAGAATGTTTAGACAGAAGTTCTACATCTATTTGGCCATAAATATCAACTATTCCAAATGTTCTCCTGTATTATTCACACGTTTTGATTACCTGATGTGTGAAAATCAGGTGATCCTAATAATTAAGTTCTGCATTATAATAAGGGAACCTAGATGCACAAGAGATACCTGTGTGTAGTGAAATCTGTATTAAATTGAAAACAATACTTTTGGTGATTGTATGGTTGATTTCTATAAAAACCATGGCATATGCACAAGTCAAATCCCTCGCCTTGTCCAGGTGAAGTGTAATACATTTTAGATTATCCGAAGAAACCAAATATTTTTTAGAAGACTCATTTCGTTACTAGAAGAATTTTAAAGGCATCAGAGAACAAACTTGCCTTTCATGTATAATTCAGCATCAAATTGTACTGTCTGGCTTTCATTCGTCTTTTTTCGACTTCCATAATGATCCTCCAAGATTCGTATTCTGTGAACAAAACGACTGGTTTAGTAATAGCTATAATACTATTGGTTTCAACACAATCAAAGTGGTACTGCAAAATGTAGGAAGAAGTAAAGTTTTTAGGATATGATCGTTACAATATGGCCTTGAGCTTAGGCGTGTGCCCCCGTGACAATTTTGTTTCTTTCCTCAATTGTAAGAGTTTTTAATTTTCATATTTTCTATTAGACAGGGAACCTAGTAAGTTGTAACCATGCGGACTAAAATTACAAGTCTTCTAGGGATTATGCCTTGTTCTTTCAGCCCGTTGCAGTTAGTAGGTAACTAACATAGGTGCACAGTAAGTTTTATAGATATGGTAGCTTCCATTAATATGTTATACATGGCCCCACCTCTACTTGTATAGGTAACTAGCGAGAAAGAAAAAGGACAAAAAAACTTTTAATTATCTTGATAGTTCGCAGATAAGATTTTTCATGTGCTAGAAACCTGAAAAACTATCTTCCGAGTATCCTTAATGTTACTCCCAATTTGCAGTATTCAAAAGACCAATTTTTGTGCTGTGGGTTGAGAAACATGATGTGAGTGGCTCACTTTTGTCTCACTTGCATTTTTTCTTATCTAGCTAATATGAGTCTATCTTTTCATGACAGGTCACTTCACCTTATGGAAACCCCATTCACCACCAGGAAAGCGTCACGCATGGTCAATTTGCCTTTACAACTAGTGAAGGTGGAAACTACCTAGCCTGTTTTTGGGTCGATGGCCATAATCCAGGGGCTGGGGAGGTAAGTCTTAACATTGATTGGAAGACGGGTATTGCTGCAAAGGATTGGGACTCTATTGCAAGGAAAGAGAAAATTGAGGTGAGACCCAATAGTGCAACTTCCTATCTGTTACATTCATTTGGGAAAAAGAAAAATATTTTTCTTTACATTGGTCAAATACCATGTTAATTTTTAGCGGCAAAACCAAGGATGTTGATTACAATCAAGAATAATATTTGTATGTTTTCACTCTACCAGGGTGTTGAACTTGAGCTAAGAAAGCTTGAGGGAGCGGTGGAGGCCATTCATGAAAATTTGTTGTATCTCAGGAGCAGGTAAATATTTTTTTCTTTTCTTTTGCATTTTTTTAATAAAAAAAATCTTTTGATTTTAGATTCCAATGGGTTTAGAAATTGTACTGCCTTTTCTTATAGTTCTTTATGACTTTGTCCTTTCAGAGAAGCAGATATGCGGATCGTGAGCGAAACAACGAATGCTAGGGTGGCTTGGTTCAGTATTATGTCATTGGGAGTGTGTATTTTAGTTTCAATTGCCCAGATATGGTATTTAAAACTTTATTTCATAAAGAAAAAGCTGATTTAGAGAGGAAAAGGGTCAGAGTTTAGTTTTTCTTTGATGTACGTGTGTTTTGTGAAACAACTTGAAACTTTGAATTTTTGCCTCGAGTTTATTCTTCTTAATTTGCATAATGATTTTTAACTTCTACTGTCCTTTCTGTGTGAGATATATAAATATATAATATTCTAAAGTGTGTTGCTATTTGTTACTCTAGTTACTACTTG